TTTTATTTATTGTCACATAATACAATACAGATTTTGCCTACCGACTGACTGGGTACAAGCGACGTCAGAGGTCCCCAAAGACAGAGACTGCTTTCAGAGATCATCACATCCAACTAAGCTGCTTTCGCTAGTTGCCAGTTGGTCTGTGCAACGCCATCAAGGTTGCGCGAGTAGGCATTCCACTGACAGTTGCCCTGCGAGATGACTGGACAGATGTCGGTCTGCGCGGTTGTAGAGGTCCCGATTGTTGATTGAATCTGCTTCCGGCACGTTGGATGTGCTCGTGGATTGGTCTGGGTTTTGGCCTTTTCCACGAGCGGGGCCACCACATCGTATTGCTGCTATTGGGCAGGGGATCCGGGTGTAGAGCCCGAAGTCCAATGGTGCCGCCTGAATTTGTCGTCGGCTGCAACTTGTGACAAGTTTTCGAACATTTGCGATGAAGAAGGTCCCTGACCTCTGCCGACAATTCATCAGCCCAGCGTAGGTGTGGTCCTATCAGTGCACGAGATACCTCATCCAGCTCACGCCAGGTGTGGGCTAATGCACTCGTCAGTTGAGCTGGGTTAGACTGGGCTTCACCCCCTCTCGGCCAGCGCATCCACCACAGATGACGATACAAACGAGGTCTCTCGTGAACTGCTGGGACTACAGCTACGATTTGTTGGTACGTTGTCGGCCGAAGACTGACCCGGTCACACGTGCAGCTGACGGCAAACTTCACAGTTTGAGAAATCCCAGCGGCTGCATCAGGGCTGTACATTTTGGCTTCCTTATCTGTCAGATGATTCTGCATTAGGTCGATCCTCAGTACGATTTTATCCCAAAACTGATTCTTCGCGAAAACATCTGGCCAGTATTCTCGGAGGGCAACTTCCGTGTTGGAAAGCGACGAAAGTTCCGTTATCACAGGAAGGGATGTCGCCAGCCTCCAGGACTTCCATGGATGTAGGATGTACCAGAAGTCACCATCACACTGTTGCTCCGCTTAGGAAGTCGGTATCTGTGCCGAAATTGCTCTTCAGTGTCTGTCATGAGACTGTCCTCTCCTGTCGCGTGCCCTAGTAGCCATAGCACATAACGCACTTGCACTTCTTGTGTATTCGGTTTCTTTCACGCAGATTGTATGTGTTGCTGCTTACACTTGATATGGATGAGTCGGGTTGTATACTGATAGTGGTTCTCGTTCTGGATTTGCTTCTTTTTGGTGGTGCTCGAAAAGCCGTGGACCCGTTGATGCTGCTTCTATTGGAAATTATCTTGCTTCTTTTTTTCGCATTCTTAGGTCTGGTTTTCTGAACCTTCGGTTTGGTTTTCTGAACCTTCGGTGTGGTTTCCTGAACCTTCGGTGTGGTTTCCTGAACCCTCGGTTTGTCTTTCCTGTAAGAATAAAGGCAAGTTCTGTACAGACCGACACGACATTGAGAAAGGAGAACGCAACTTACCTACTGAAGGAGATAATACATTTAACGGTTAATATTTATTTCATTGGTGCGTTTACTCGGTGTACAGTTCATTAATTCTGTGTCTCTGCGCCGCTAATTTGTCGTAGCTAATATAATGATATTGTAAATTTAGACAGATTTTTTATTATACTGTGTAAAAAATTATTATTTTTCTCCATTGCTTGGCATAAAATTTAAAACGGCTGCTTACCACCGTGTCTTTTTGATCCAGGATTGAAATGTTTTGGCCCATGGATATCTTCTTAGTATTTTGCAGAGAATGACAATTAGAAACACGACTCCAGCTCCTGCAGCTAGCAGCAAGGCGTAGACCAGCAATCCGCTGCTCCATAATTCTGAGTCGGTGACTGTCATCTGGAAGATTAAAACAAGGAATTGTATGGCCCATGATGAAGAATTCCTACTTCTGTATAATGACAATAGCGTA